TAACCTTTTAATTTTCCACTATTATGTGAAATGACTGTGAGTAACATTTTATAATTATAGTTATTTTTATTTAAGGCTCTTAAATCCCTTTTTAGAACACAAGAAATTGATAATCACAGTTAACAATTAAAGACAAAATACAAGTTAGGACTTTTTGGACAATTCTCACAAACGAACCTCTGGCATTGCAATAAAATTGACTGACATTTGCGTAAGACAGAGAAATTTGAACAGAGAAACTGGGAGACATAGAAGGCACAGATTGTTTTTTATGTAATAGGTCGGCAAACGAGCAGACGGATTACCTGATGGTAACCAATCAGCGCCGACCATGGACACCCGCAACTTAGGAGTTACGAGTGCAGTGCTGATCTTTTAGGGATAAGGGATTTGGAGAATTAGGGATTAGGGAAGGTACGTATCTCGTACTTTTTGTCCATTATTAAAAACTATTTACAGTGAAAATCAAGAACTCAATGTCGTTACGTACTTGTGCATATTCGTCGTATGTAATTGCATATAGGGCGTGTAGAGTGGGTGAAGTGTTTGATGTATTTGCAAGTCTATTTGAGTTGCAATAAGGTGCAAAATAGAGTGTATTTATATATCTAGGTGGCGTGTGAACGATAACAGACGATAATGAATGCTCATAGGTAAGGGGTTCCCCGAACAGAAATACTGACGCCGCCATCTTCGTCGATAAAGTTAGTTTACTTCTATTTATCAGAGGTTTTGTTCTTTAATATATGACATTTGAGATTGCCACTTCTAATAAATAGGCACAACTTCTTATCAATAAAAACTAAATCGGCCTTATTACAAAACAAGGTTTTACTTTAGTCTAGGACTAAACCATTGAGCCAGTTTTCGTATTTCGAATTGAAGGTGACAATAAGATTCCAAATTTAAAACCCTACTCAATGATTTAAACCTGGACTAAAAATAAACCTTGTTTTGTAATAAGGTGGAATAAGTTCTTTAAAAACCACCGTTAACTTTTGTAGCAAATTCTATGTAGAATTTTATTGAATGATAAAAATACAGCACGCAATTTTTTTGTTGTTTCATAAATTACTGGCTTTGCCTTGAAATAATATGGATATGGTTGGGAATTTCGATTTTTGAGCATTCTGAAACACAAAATTACCGTTTTCCTTATTTACAATATAATTCGATTCATGTACCTACCTACATTTATCTTTAATTATTTCATACTGTATCGGTGTGTTGATAGATAAAATACTTAGGTACCTATTTATAACTAAATGTTTGCTATCCGCTGTACTAATTAAAATCAACATTTGAGTGGGTTTATCTTGAGTGAATCATTTTTATATCGACGGAAAACATTTCAAATATGTAGGTATTACTGGGTGCAAAAAAACATCAATTTTATTAAAAATTTGCTTCTGCCCGCGTGGTCCGGCGTGGTATATTGATAAAAAGTAGCCTGCCTCCAACTATTGTTCATTTTTAAATCAAGCTGAATTTAATATTTCGATACGGATTGTAGCACATTTTTTTTCGGATGTCTAATGATGGATTTTATTTTTCTATGTGTTAAGTCCAGGGTATCATCCTATCTACATACCAAATCGGTCCATCCGTTTTTGCATAAAATACATTCTCAAAAACTTTCACATTAATAATATTGGTAATATAGTAGGATTTAGGTATTTTAGCTTGGCAAATATTGTCAATTGTTTATGACACAAACCCTGACGTCTTGAAAATAATGAGCATAAGAAAATTTTATTCAATTTAGTACAGTAGTTCGGTAGTTATGGGCGAGCATAGATTTTTGCAATTCATATCGATACCTAGATAAGTGGTTACCATGTACCGGTTATCAATTTACGTGCAATTAATAGATTGACGGATATGCTTTATCAATGACGAAGTTTGAATACCTAAGTATGTATAAAAATAATAAAAAATTAACATATTTTCGCTGCTTGTGATAAGGCCTCCACTTGAATATGAACACATACACACATGTTTTGTTTGCAATAAGCAACTGACTGAATGAAATTTGAAATATCGAATACTAGCGACCCACTCCGGCTTCGCAAGATTGCAACGCTGCTGGTACTAAATTGCCCCACTATTTAATGGCCGTTATATTAAAAATATAAACCTTCCTCTTCAATAACTGTACAAAAATCGCATCAAAATTCGTTGCGTAATTTTCAAGATTTAAGCGTACGTAGGGATATAGGGACAGAAAGAGCGACTTTGTTTTAGACCATGTAGTGAAGAAACGTATCTAGTTATCGTTTTTAAACGAATTTATAAATTTAATCTTTTCTATAAATCGTCTCTATACTCGACTGTAGTTGACTGTACTTTTACTTTGGCAAACATCACAGTATTTTATTAATTCTTAGCCTTTACGCGAATGAATCAGCCTTCCAACAAGAATAACTAGTTCATTCTTATTAATATACGTCAACACTGGTGGGTGAAAGCAAGTATTAATACGTCGACGATGACGTATAACAAATACAATATGTATAACAGTGAGTCACTATTGAACTTTGTTCAGAATACTTGCCAAGTGAAGCCAAGTATTAAGGGATCGATAAGATATAATGTTATCTAGGTAAACCAAACATCAAGTCTGGTATTATATATCTGATATTTCAAAGAAAAACAAAACGTCATAATTTGCCAATAGCACACCAAGCGAAAGCACAGGGGTGGCGCCACTTACGTTTTTGGCATTACACTCGTATTTGTTTATGGTAGGGAATAACCGATGCGTCATGCGCCATCTTAGCGCTACACTTGACAAAAAGGTCAGATTTAGGACATGACATGCAATTTAAATTCGTTTCATAATACATTTACGTTGGTAATGGCGTCTCATATCGATCAGTTCTTGAATTGAAGCCAAGATAACACTGAAAGTTTTCTTTCATTTTTACGTTTGAGTCGCATTAAAATTATCTACGTCTGTTCTTAATTCTTAATAAGGGAAAATTATACGGTGGGTGCTCCTTACATATTTACTTTTATTAATTTCTTAGAATTTGACTCAATATACACACGTATTCAATTCTAATGACTGTATTTATTGGAAATTATTAATAATGAATTAGTATTGATGTTATTATACATAAATAATGTCTTTTTTATCTTTTGATAACAATGTCGTTATGAAAAAAAACGGTGATTCATGACGTGTCCGGAAACTTGTGTGACGTTGAAGAACGTCGGCAAAGACCCTCACTACCACAGCATAAGGTTGAATTTTGTCTAAAAATAACCATATTTATATTACTGGTACTGTATGGCCATTGCCCTTCAGTGAGGCAATATTAACGTGAATAGTGTAATTATTGTGACATCCATTAATTGCCTGTTCGAATCATCATAAGACCATTTTTGGTGCACGTGTAACTTCTGCTTGATAAGTATAAAACTCGTTTGTATTTTTTGGGACCACAAAACTTTGTGGTCCATGTTTAATTCCTTACAGGTCATCGTTAGGCCTTTAATTAGCCTGGTGGTAATTACAAAGTGAGGAAGGAAGGGAAATATTTAATAATAATGATATGCAACTACAAAGCTGTGACTGTAACCGGGGGAATTGGCTTGCGAATTTTATTTGTCGAGTTACTTCAATATTTAGAAAGGTAAAAATAATGGGAGCTGGAGGCAACTTTTGAAACAACTTTTCCATGGGACCAATATCAAAACCTCAAAAATAAATTTGTTGTCAGATAAGTACAAATCGCAAAAGCAGATTGATTATTTTGTAAGGAGAAGATTTTTTTTTTAGAGCACCAGTATATGGTCCTTGAATATCTCCCTCGTTTAAAACAGGGTTTTTTATGGTATAAGTCGGCAAGCGAGCTGACGGATTACCTGATGGTAAGCAATCGGCGCCGCCCATGGACACCCGCAACACCAAAGGAGTTACGAGTGCTTTGCCGGCTTTTTAGGGATAGGGGTTGCGGATATAAGGATCGGGGAGGGATAGGGGAAAGGGCGGGATTGGGCCTCCGGTAACCTCAATCACACGGCGAAACACAACGCTGTGGTTGTTTCACGCCTGTATTCTGTGAGGCCGTGGTAGCACTCCGGTCGAGCCGACCCATTCGTGCCGAAGCTTGGCCCTCCCACACTTAAAATCGGATGTTCTGTATGGCCAAGCGACTTAAAACCTTAACATACTGCTATTTAAATAGAGGTTGAGTAGCTGATTATAGCTAATCCATGGTTCTAATAACATTATCACCGTCAAATAAGCATGGGAAGTTTTATTGTTCATAAATTCTATACACAATGACATACGTCATTTATTACTCTTGCGCTCACACATAGAGTCGTGCCAGTACAAATTTTTTCACATTATTCATGCGTTTATGCTTTATAATGGGATTAACTAATGTGGCTTATTGATGCTAACTGTAACTGCTGAGTGGGAGGTCGTTGATGTCATTTAAAACATAACTACACGCCTATTCTGGTCAGACGAGGAATGATAGAAGATGCATTGTATTGTTTGTATTAGAGGCCCAAAGAAGAGGGGGAGGGTGAGGAAAGTATTCTTTGTCAGGTGAAAGAGACGCAGAGAAGGAAACGGAATGATGTACAGCTGTTCGGTTCAAAACAGGAGAAGGAACGAGATGAATTATAGTTATTTAGTTAGAATCAGTCTCGGAAAATGATCCAATCATAGTCCTGCCCTGGGTGGGGCCCATGATGATTAATGTAATGGGAGCGCGATTATTGCTGCATCGCGCATTATTACATACCCGCTATTATTCGGCCGGGAAACGAGCAGGCGGATTACTTGGTGGTAAGTAATCATCAGTGCCGTCAATGGACACCCGTAATACCAACAAGTCTTGTCGGTCTTTTGTGTAGAAGAATTTCGAAGATTTAGGGATTGGTGAAGGATTGGGTCTCTGGTAACCTCACACACAGCGAAACACAACGCCGTGGTTCTTTCACGTCGGTTTGCTGTGAGGCCATGGTACCAGTCCGGAGCCATGGAGCACTCTGGAGCCGACCCATTCGTGCCGAAGCTTGGCACTCCCACACTTAATAACGGCCGTGATGTTAGAACAAAAACCACGAACCATATAAATACATAGAGGTGCGCGGTTGATTGTATGACTGCTTAAGTGAAGTACTGAACGCTAATGCTTCTGCTTATTGATTGGTATTTGTAGTGCTTCTAAAACGAATGTTTTTAGCTTCTTTTCAAGCGCTTTATAAGTACAGAATAGATATTTTAGGCACACGATGTGAGCACATTCGTTTATTAAAATTACAGTGTACATTTATATTGTAGATACGGTAAATTTGCCTGGTGAACCGACCTACCCTGATAGATGTTTTTTGCGAACATTTACAGATTTCCAGTTGCCTAATGTATTCCACTAACATCTGGCCACCAGGTGCCTCGGACGGAATCCCTGTACTGTAGGTGCTGTGGTTGCGGGGTAAGCGCAATGAGGCACCGCGACCTCGACCCGGAGCAGGGGGGAGTAAGAGTCTGGCACTCCCTCCCACCCTACCCTGGGCGGGAGAAATCATTTGATGATTTTCCCCTCACGAAAAAAAACCCTGTATTGTTATGCACGCATTACGATGTGTGCGAGAGAAACTGCGAAGCAGATATAACTTGATTCTTAACGAATATCTCGAATTGTAAAATGAGAATGATACTTTCCAGAAACTGTCACTACTTTCACCAACGATATCGAAGAAATATACGACAGCAAAATATGAATATACTTGTATATACTCAAATCACTCAAATTAATCTTTTTTTTTTATGTGATAGGACGGCAAACGAGCAGACGGATTACCTGATGGTAAGCAATCAGCGTCGCCCATGGACACCCACAACAAAGAAGGAGTGCGTTGCCGACCTTTTAGGGATTGGGATTTTGGGGATTTAGGGATTGGGAAGGTATTGGGCCTCCGGTAACCTCACTCACACGGCGAAACACAACGTTGTGGTTGTTTCACGCCTGTTTTCTGTGAGGCCGTGGTATAACTCCGGTCGAGCCGACCCATTCGAGCCGAAGCATGGCTCTCCCACACTTAATCAGTTTGTTTTTCTTATTTTGTTCGAGTGATCCATTTTTGTGAGGGGCGGCTGGGGCTACTGATATCGGTTTTTGGTTCAGAGGATTTTATTTATACAACCTTACAACCTGGCCTCTTTTAAGTCAGTTATTATTTGTATTTTGTTAACTGGGTATGTAAGAACATGGACACACATATGATAGTAGAGATCCAACAGCAATTATTTCACAATTAACATAATAATAGTCATGTGCGAATAAACAATAGTTCAAGTCGCAAGTGAGAGGCGCAAGCGAAGGTGTGTGTGACGTTAAAAAAGATTACGTGAACACGCCTGAAAAGACGTATAGTTGTATGTGTGGCGGGAGGGGGGACGGAAGGGGGGTTCGAATAAGCAAACAATAAAAAAAAAACAAAATCAATACTTTTCCCGATAGTCAGGACTTAAGAAGACACTGGGTACAGTAATTTTTCGTTATCAAGTAGATCTGTTTAAGAATAGTACGAAGTTACAAAGTTTAAAAAAAAAAACGCGAATTCTTTAAACCTATCTGCTTCTTGCAAGAATTATTTATAGATGTATATGTAAATATATCGATATCTTTTATTTACATTATGACAACGTAAATAACTATAAATAATGCACTTTGCAAATAATATATATACTTACGTGTTATCATTTATGACGATTTATATATATGACAATAAAGGATAAATTTACCGTTATCAGTATGTCTGATTCATGATGTTCTTTGAACAATGAGGAAAGTATACAATTTTCTAGAAACTTGTGTACAAGGATTTGACGTATGTTTGAGATATTCTATTTTTCATGTGATATTCATATGCCTACGAAGAATAATATGTCAGATAGAGAATGAATTATTGTTATTTTATCTCCATAGCACGGAGAAAGGAATGTTCAAGAAACATTATGTTTCAAGTAAGGGATTCTATCAACTTGAGTCACTTTTAAAATACTTATATGAATCTTACGAAAAAATTGCACATGTAAAGGTGTACCATATTAATAAGTAAGTATGTACAGAACCCACTTTCATAAACCACCCTGTACTACACCCTGAACAGACATTGAAATGGAACGCGCGCGGGAAACCGCAGGCTCAGTAAGTCTATGCCATAGAGAAAGAAGATAAGATTGTCTTAACATTAGTCTATGGTAACAATAATGAAGAAAACATGTAACATATACGACAAAACATAGATTAGCAAGTGCGCAAGGTGCTATGCGACATATATTCTCAATTATATGATAAAAGATATTTATTTATTTGTATTCAGAGTATTTACACTATGAGTATACAAGTTTGGTATCAATAGTTGAAACAAAGTGCTGATAGCAAGTTGGAACCTTTTTTTTATGGAATTTGTTAGCAAACAAGCAGAAAATCCCTTGAATATAAGCAATTGGCTTCGAATATGGGCTCACACAACACCAGATGTTGCCACTGCGAGATGGCTTTAAGGATCTGGGACGAAAAAGTGGGGGCTTCCGGTAATCGCACATATGGAGAAAAGGAAGTTGTTTCATGCCAGTATTATGTGAGGCCAAAGTATCATTCTGTTTATGTCAGCACAAGGTTGCAAGGCTCCTCCAAATTTAAAATCTTTACATTATTACAAATTGAGATGCAAATTTTAATTGGGAGGTGGACAAATTCAACAACAATTTGTTGTCAGTTATGTTGTTTGAGTCCCATTCAATAGAGGTTGGATATATAACTATACATCATGCTTGAGTCTGTTACTATATTAAATTTAAAAAAAGCTATCCTACTATATTTACTTTAGCAAGAATAATAATGTCCATAAACATAGCTGTAATGCCTTGAAACCATGCTCCATTAATACAAATAATTTAATAATTTCTGCATTATTTTATTGTTTCAACTATGATAAGATTTTGTATTGAAATCTAAAACACAATACGCGAACAATAATACATTTTCAATTTTATTACCAAAACATAAGTCTAATTGATTAAATAAAATTTGACATGTAAGAATAGGGCTGAAAATTAAAAAAAAACTAACATCTTTTATCATACAATTGAACTAAAGTGCAAATATTGAAATATTAATTATTGACCTCCGGGATAAACACCTGGGTTCTGCAACATTGTCCAGAGCTGCAGATAAAGAAAAAAAAATCTATAGTTAAAAATATTTAAAAAATATACATACACATTGTGTTGTAATTGGGTTGTTCTTTGGAATTAAGGTTTTCGGTTGCCGTTTTGAAGGTGGTACAGCACTTACGCACTTTTAAACTGCAACAAAGAAAAAAGAATATATTATAACATTGTAAGTATAGTGAGTATATTAACAACAGTTTTAAAGAAAAAAATACTAGCTAAAGGCAAACATTTTTATTCTGGTCGAAAAAATCTTTAAAACCTCTTTTAAAAGGCAGATAAAATGTTTATGATCGTGCTATAAAGAGTATAGCAATTATAGTTTATCAACTCATACATATTTTAATAAATAATAAACATTTATCGATTCTGTAAATATTTTAAGAGCCTAAGTAAGGGACTTGTTACGACATTATGACATTAAACACAATGTGCCCTAAGGTAGACTTGTTCTTGAACAGTTTCAACGAATTTAGAAATTGCTTAAATAAATTGTAATTAATTGTTAATTGTTTTAGTCATGTATTAGCTTCTTAATATTAAGTACCTCAACTTTACTGTCTCTAACGAAGCATATTAGTACTTGAATGTTATGTACAGGAATAATTGGACTTCAGATTTATGTACTGTATGCTAACTATTGTTTTTTCTTGATTGTCTTAACCTGTAGTCTGTCACTGTACTTATTAAATAAATAAATAAATAAATAAAATAAATTAAAAAAGCTAAAAGTAGGTAGGTATAAAAATCCATAACAAAGCAAAATTTCCGAAGGTATAAAATAAAATTCGATACCATATTAAATATATTTCAATATACTATGGAAGATGTAAACAATTACAACGCTAAACGCAACATTGTTTTGATTTGTTTTTTTAAATAACATGTAAATATGGTGCAATATTTTATTGTCACAATATTCATTTCTTATAGCGTAAAAAGATATATACGTTCTTTGAATACGATAATAATTTAAAATTAAATTACTTAGAAGAAACCATTTTGGTTTTTTTTCCAAAAACGGAAAATTACCTTTCGAAAGTACTAGACGTTTCATAAAATGTCCATGTCGCAACAAATGATCGATCGTATTATTATAGTAAATATTATGAAACTATACCTGGTATGGAAATGTAATTTCCGCTGTCTATAGTAACACAAATCAGCACGTTAATATTTTTGATAAAATTCACTTTCACACGAAACAGTAATCGCTCGACAGAAATAATGTAAGATTTGGTATTCACTCGACTCAACACTTCACTTCTTCAAATCTATGAGAATCACAGATTATTTAATAAAGAATGAGAATGACTGAATGAGTACCATAGTGTAGGATTAGGTATGTTTTATAATAGATCTGGAGTCTAATCTCCGGTTTGTCTATGGTAGTAAGTGGACTGGAAACGAAAAAAAATCACTTCATAAATATTTTTTAAAGTGAATTTTCTGTTTATGGCAAATGTACATTATAATGTCTTTTGATTTCATAATTAATAGATTTCATATACTGATGGAAAACGGTAAACAAGTAGAATAAAGTGTATGCCATACAGTACGAATAGCTCGACCGTGAGTGTTGTCATAGCCTAACTACAGAAACCAAAAAATGAATAAGTAAAAAAAAATTTTTTAATTAGATTTTAGATCACGACCTGTTAAAACTTTCATAAGTGTAGAGCTAGTCTAGTCCAGCTACAGTTAGTCGTGTCCATTGAGATAGAAAATATATAGAGGCGCCGTGTTACTATAGAAGTATACATGCTTATACAAATATGAGGGAAATATGAAACAAACTATGAAATATCATTTTTTCTCACTCTTTCTAAGGCAATAATTGTATTAGACAAAAGGGACAACAATATTTAAGTTGTTGCTTAATAAGGAAACAAATCATTTTGACATTAGCAAAGTTGTAGGTAAGTGCCATGTCCGCCATCTTAAGCGCTCAGAGTACCTGAGTTTCATGGTAGTTGTCCTGTCAAACAGTTGTTTATGTTTTAAATTATTGCGGTTTTTCAGTAAATTACAAAGAACCATTTTTTTAAACTTCAAATATATATAGTGAAACAAAAAAACAATATGCCTGTGTGTTGTATTGTGCAGTGTGGTACAAAAAAGAACGAAAATCAACCTCAACTGTCTTCGTATAAGTTAGTAAACAGTTTTCATCAAATATTAATTAGAATATTCCACATAGATAGAAAAAAATGTCACGGATACTTTAATCTATTGCCAAAGTATATATATTTACTTTTATTTCTGTCTGTGAGACAGTTTTAGTAAAAAATTGTTGTTTACAATAATATGTCAATATGGCATAGTTACGTACCATTTCACAAAAGTATCGATATAATCTCCCATTTAAAATTCAACATATATTATACTAAATAATCTATTTTAACAATGGATGTTTCCGCAGTTTTGTGTAACGCTAAAGTAAGACGTCAGTATTTTGGTATTGGTTTTAGTTACATAAGTAGAAGTTCAAATTATCATGTTTTATTATTATACGGGCGCGATTGACAGAGCGGCGTTGGCGACGATCCCAGTGCGACCACCAAGCGTAATAATAAAAAGTGAGATACATACAATAAGATTGACTTCACTACATATCTATTTTGTGCTAACGTAGTTTCGAAGATATCATCGCTTAATCAGACGCGCCGAAATTGTGCGCGAGCACTTCGCAAATACCCACAGGTTTTCCACATATATAAAGATAAACATTTAACAAACACTATCTTTTTCTATTTCACCATTCCATTAAACGCTGTTCATAAACACAGTCCTATTTTTTTAAAAGACGCTTTACGTATAATTATTTGAATACAAATTCGACTTGAGAAAATCATTAGCCAATCAAGAGACCAAGTTAACCCCGGGTTCCGGGCTCTAGCTAGGCCGACGGCAAAGTAGGAACAGGAGTTGATTTTAGTCAGTAACGGTCTGTCCCGAAAAAGGCCGGAGATGACATTTTATTTATTTATTTAACCTTTATGCACAACGTACATAGGTGGGCTTAATGCCAACAAGCATTCTTGCTAGCCAACCTTTGGGTGATGCAGTAAGAATATGGTCGGTGCAAAAAAGTACAAGAGCTAACTTAAAAAAAAAAAAGTAATTAATTAAAATGCATAATACAATGAATATAATATAATAATATAAATACAAACATAATAATATGCATGAATACACATATAATACATAAGTAATACATAATACATATAAAATACATAAGTAAAATAATATATATTATATAACCATATACTACATACATAAGTATAGGATATTCACATAAAGTAGGATAGTTTATAATAAAGAAGATTTTGCCAACTTTCCCTCCAAGATACACTTGCGAACTCCAGCTTTGAAAGACTGCTTGTTCTTTGCTTTCCTGATTTCCAAGGGCAGGCCATTCCATAAAAGGATAGATTGGATGTGAAATGATGAGTGAACAGTGTCAGAGCTATGAGAAGGACAGTGAAGAAGAAGATTGTTAGAAGAACGAAGATTTCTAGAATGTCCCAAGTATCGGTACTGAAAATAAGACAATAGATGATTTCCCATAAAAAAATACCGTTAATCAGCTGGCTAATCCCTAAAACTATACCTACGTAGAACTTTTACTCAAATTGTATCGATACTCGTTAAATACTTAGTCGGCACAACCCTAGAAACGGCAGCCATCTTATGCGACATTTTGGATTGTAGGTAGGCACCTTCTTTTCGTAGGTATTTCAAGTCCATAAATTTCCTATGTCAATGGTCGTGTCGCACTTCATGGTGCAGTTCACCTGTTTCTCGATTCATGTTATGCTTGGACTACACTAACGGGATATGCCAATAATTATCACAATAATTGATGATATTAAACAATGAAAGCATTTGTTTAGTGAAGAAATTACACCTAATTGCGATAATTAATGGCATTTGCAGTTAATGTGGCCCAAGCATTAGTGTTAGTGGAGCAGACTGACGCTACCTAAACTGTCAAGTGTCAGTGTCATTATCACAAAAACAACATAACCTACAAAAGTGCGAAACGAATTTATATTGGGTTTCAACTTTAAAACTAATTAATCTCAGTTACAACCATGAGTATTATATTAAAGAGTATAGTTATATTGCCCCAAATACCACGTAAGCAAATTTCTTAATAATTTCTGTGATTAACTGTCTTTTAAACGTGACTCGTGATAATTTTCAACATTTTGTTTCAGTGGTTAGTCGGGCATTGAGTAGCTCTCCTACTCTGCTATCTAAGCACTGGAGAGAGGAGCGAGGTTTATCCCGTAATCGGAATGCTGAAGGAATTCTAACGGATGCCCCTGACTTCACTTATCTTGACGGCAGACCAACCCCGCTATTGGTATAACTATTATTATTTTAACAATATAAAAAATATCTATTTATGTGGTTAAAAAGCTGAGAAGAGAAGCGAAGGCCTTTATGATATTCTTTTACAATCTGTGGCGTCATTTTGTTTACATGTATGAAAATAAACATATCTTATTTCGTAGGCACAATGGTTTAGAATGAAGCCATATCTTTTGAAACTATCGATCAGTGTATTAGACAAATTGATAAGTACTGTCTTTTATGAAACAGATCTTTATGTTCATTCATTTGTAAGTAGACCAAATTACTGCAAACTTGTGTCTATGGTGCATATTTCATTCAAATTATGTTCCTTATTCAAATTCTGTTTCAAAGTGAAGCAGGTCCTTAAAATTATAATTCTAAACTATTAATCGCGGGAATTTGAAACACTATTATATAGGTGCACAAACATTTGCATTTCACTTGGGGCTTGATGAATAATGTATGCAATGTTTTGTTTTTAGCAAAAACAGAAGAAAAGAATGCTACGACAAAGAGAGTTTGCATCAAAAATCTTTGAAATGTGTTCCGAACTTGATTTTGCTAAAGAGAGATACAACTATATAGAAGCATCTAAGGAGCAAGAGAGACAGAATTTCATTGCTAACAGATTGAAGGCCAAAGGAGATGCACTTAATAAGAAGAAGTAGTTTAACATAGTGTTTATGTATGTAGGATAGCTGTAAATAAACTTGTTAGATTTTATTATAATTATATTTTTATTTATTTTGTAAAGCTGAATAAACAATAGTATTATCTCAATGTAATAGAACAATTTTGTTTAAAATCAAGTAATTTAGGGAAAGATGCTTGAAAGAATCTTAGTCACATTGTATGATGTTCAAATACTTACTCCAAAACTTGTATTAGTGTGGCCCATATACTAGGGCACACATGAGCCTCCCAGTATGTATATAGAAAAAAAATTCGATAATTATTTAGATTTAATAGTGCTCCAAGCTCCATCTATTGTGTTGAATATGTCCTAGTTTCATAATTTGTTCATTGGCCAGTTGTAAAACCAAACACGAATAATATATTTGGTTTCTTCTGTTTTTCATAGATGGAGTTAGTTACCTTAAAGGACAAATTGCCAGAGCCGTATGCAGTGGTACTAATAGATTGTACCGTGCATATTATTGCAGATATATTTATCATTATAATCAAAATTTATATGACTTTCTAATAACCCAAGGTGGAAATCTCTCATGTAACCCCGTCGATTGTGGAGGTGATTTTCAGACATAATAACCCACACCAATGTCCCGGATTAGGTTAGGTACAGGGTTACAAGGGCGCGGGAACAACATTCTTGAATCTTTAACGAATGGGGACGGGTCCGGCTCAATTTAGTCGACGAGGTATCTACTTATGATACCTACCTTTCCCTATCTCACGTATTAGGGTAAAACTTTCAAAATTCTGTCTCACACGGAGCACCGGCGTTAAACAACCACAGCGTTGTGTTTTGCCGTGTGAGTGAGGTCACCGGAGGCCCAAATCCTATTCCAATATACCCCTTTCCCTCCCCAATTACAAAATGTCCATATCCCTAATCCCCAAAGGTCGGCAACGCCTCCGTTATTGCGGGTGCATGAGCGGCGCTGACATCTTACCATCAGGTTATCCGTCTGCTCGTTTGGCGTCCAAGAAAAAAACACGGAAGCTAGAACCGTGGTCATTGCTAATCTGACTGCAGGTTTTTTTTGTCCGGGGAAAATCATCAAATGACTTCGCCCAGGGTGAGGCGAAAGGAAGGATCAGACTCTCACTGACTAAAAAGCACCCCGTTCCTTCTCCTGCTCTATGCCAAGGCTGAGGTGTCTCATTATTCTTGCTCCGCAGCCCTGGCTAAACATCAGCCCTATAGGCCCCCGTCTGCGGTGGTTTAAGTGGGGCGAAAGGGAGTGCCTCTTTCCGAGGCCGCGGTGCCTTAGATGTTACATTATTGACCGAAATTCATTATCTACTTACTTATAGCAGTCTTATTTGACTCCTGGAACAACTTAGCAGTTAATTTTAAACTGAAGCAACTATTTAAACTGTAATGTGAAGTAGTTAAAGGGTTAGTGTAGTACAAGATAGTTTCATCACAACGATGCGACGGCGCGGTAATTAAAATCTTAGCTGGTTAACTCGGGGACGCAGGGCCGGACTTGGCATTTTATTGATGCTGTATTTAATCATGTGGTTCATAGGTTTTTTTTTGGCTGCGCGACAACACCGGGACGCGCATGGTGCTCATAAATAACTCCCGTTGTGGCTTGAAACTAGTATCTAGCGCTTTACTCAGTTCCATTACGTGAGTACGTCGTTTTGGAAGTCGTGGTGGCCCGGAGGTTTAGGCGCCCGCTTCCCTTGCGTATGATGCGGTTTAAACCGCCGCGAAATCGAAAGAGCTGTTAGTTCCCGAAGTAAGCAGTCCAATACTGTAAAAACATTGGCCATAACAACCGTTAGTGCTACATAATGACCATTGGTTTTTACGAAAATGTGGCTTATAATCTTTTTTATCGGGAACTTAAATGAGGTTAATGATAGAGATTGAAAGTCTTGGTAGTCTATTGACTGATAATAATTCGAAGTATATTGCTAAAGAAATGTGTCGAGTTATAATTTATTGTAGATTACGTGCCAGATAAACTAAAATACCAAAATAAATGAGACATTGTGAAAACGGCTCCAAGTTTTAAGTCTTAAATCCCAAGTGCGGCCCTGGGTCCCATTGCAATCTTGGCAGCCATAATTAAAAAGTGTAAAAATGAAATACATTGTTTGCGGAACACTGCACTTTATCAACTTTAAATTAAATGTCACTTTATGTTGAGTAGCACATTTATTTTAATGTGTCAATAAAAATATGTGTTGTTATCGTATCAATCTTTTAGTTATTATACCTATATAGGTAGGTATTACGTAAGTAAGTACATATAAGTACTCTTTCTAGTACCTTACCTATTAATCTAAATTACCTTTCCAAAACCTTCCTTCCTTTTTTACGTCGTCTTGAGTGGCAAAATATTACTAGAATTCAAGAATTGCTTTGCTCGCCAAGTGGCCGTCTGAGGCCTCTGTGTTTACTGAAGAATGTACTGCCATTCTGGAGTCTATAAAATTTATAAGAAGTCACAATCTTAATAATTCGGTTATTTTCTCAGACTCCAGAAGCAGTCTTCAGGCTCTTCGTCAGGACCAGCTTCATTCCCGAACATACAGTGGCTTAATTGTTGAAATGAAGTCACTATTGTTTTCGTGCCAAAAAGATGGCCTCAAAGTCGAAATCGCGTGGATCCCTGGACACTCTGGTATACGTGGTAACGAATGTGCGGATACGTTGGCAAAGTTTGCGGCCTCGAACAATGTGGATCAACAGCATCACGTTGTATACGGGTATGATTTACGCGTGGACACAAAACGCAGGCTTTTCGATTCTTGGGCTGCAGTGTGGGTAGACACTTCCAAACGAAAAGGAGTCTACTACTCCAATATCCAACCCAACATTCAACGGAAACCCTGGTTTTGCAGATATACTAAACTCCCCCGACACACTGTTACGACTTTGTGCAGGCTCAGACTCGGCCATTGTAGTAGTCCAGTCTTCCTTAAAAAGATCCGTGTTCGTGACAGCTCGCTGTGCGAATGCGGTCTTGATGAAGGTACTTAAGACCATATATTCTTTTCTTTCTCCTTAAACTCCCAATCCTTCGCAAAAAATCTTCCCAATATTCAAATCCCCCTTCCCATCAACTTTCACTCCCTCTTAACCCACTTCTCCAACAAATTAATAAAATGTCTATCCAAGTTTATTAAAGATAATGATATTAAACTGTGACGGTGTGTAATATACATTTGTATTTGTCCTCTTATTTATCCTTATTACCTATATAATGTAAAGTAGAATAGTATAAAATAAGTAGCTATAGTTTTACTAACCCATGTGTTGTCCTTTCAGCTACTAACAAAAAAACTACCTACCATTATGTTAAAGTTCGACGGGCCCATAATCTGCCGTCACTACCTGATACCGGCAGTATAGTCGACAACATTAAATTGGAGACTCGATTGCCATTCAAGAAAGAAAAAAAGAAAACATTTATCTGACTATTGAAAAATCAGTCCTAGATAACATAACTTTCTGGTTACCTATTCATTCATCGAGAATTGATTACCATTGCCAGTCGTATCTATCTATTTTTATTTTATTTCGTGTGCGCGCAGATAGGTACCTACGTATTATGTTTGTTACACCACAGGGCTATCTAAAAATCTGTGCTAATGCACAACTAGTACTGCATATAGATACTGAGATGGACCCCTTACTAGGTAGGTACACTATATTTTTTTGTTTAAATGTTATTTTTATCTGTTTCCAATTTATGAATGTGTAGCTAAATAAATGGTTTTATTATGATTTTTATGCGTTGCGAAGAAATAAAAATATTGGCGCCCTTCTAAATCACACTCTATCTCGCACCTCTTTTGTCACGTTTTAATTTGTGTTGGCAACCCCACCTGGCGCCCTGTGGGTCACACCGTTCAACCGCTCTAAGACCGGCCCTGTTCGTAACTTATATTTTTGTCTCTGTCTCTCGCTGTCCAGTTCGGTACATCAAGGCGTTAAGGCTCTACTAGGGTACTATTGCCTTAGGGTGTTTTACCCCTAGTTCTGACAGTCTGACGTCCTTATACTTGTGAGATACCTTGGTTACCTTTGTAGGTACCTTGGAATAAAGCTGTAAGTTATATTGTAGGTGTTATATATTTATTAAGTATTTTCTTACTAGTTATGAAGGCCGCTGGCGGGTTTACCTAATAAAGGGGGTTTACTGTTACTAGGTTGAGAAGCCAAGGCAATTGTACTCTCTCCGAAGGTGACCAGAATTTGGTTCGCACACGCTTGAGGGGTATATACAACCAGGGGACACTTAAAGGCTGATAGTGTGTGATGCTTACTCTGTGCTAAGGTTTAATGTATTGTATAATATAGTATAACAAAGTATTGACGCAATTTCATACCCTGATTTATAAGAGAAATAGGCTTTTAGGCATAATTCGAAACGGCAGCTGAGAGTCAAAGTCAAAGTCAAAGTCAAAATTATTTATTTCAATTAGACCCATACAGGCACTTTTGAACGTCAACACAACTTTAAAGATTCAAAGTGTCAGTCTGTCGGTCAGTCCTCTTAGTGAAGCTATTCGCTCGTTCCAAAGTGTAGATTCCGATGGAGAAGAACGAGCAAGAAACTCCATGGTTACTCTTTTAAAATCAGTGTCACATAAACATTCTTTGATACATTATTTATTTAGTTTGAATATGTGAGAACAGTGTAACGCGTGTATACAGAGAAACATAGAAAGAAAATAACCTTAAGGACAATAGACAGTCCGGAGCTGACCAGTCCCAATTGACGGCGCCCGTTCACGAGCATGACACGTACACCAGCATCGCCCAACTCAACCATAATATAGGGAATCGAGCGATCCAGTGACCGTGCCACCGCCAATGTGACCTTTGAGTGAGCATGACAACTCCAAGCTGACATAAGGACCAACATTCTGCTAGTCTAACTAATTTTAATAGGTTATTTTATAGAATGTTCAAAACCAAAAAACCGAACTATATACTTAGTTACTTTGCCCATTCCACTTATTTGGCGGTCTCGCCTGTGGTCATTTGCGTTTAATATTATACAGTAGTTGTTTCAATTAAACAATCTAAGGAAATGTTTTTTTCTCCGTATCCCATTAATATTTTAACGAAAACAAAGAAAGTACGCATTTGTAATTAAAATGTAAAAAGAAGACAATTAAAATTCAAAACGTAATTCCTAACCATTGAGCACTCCAATCAACGAGGGTCGAGTCGGCGGGAAGACAACGATTCACAATTTGAAATTCGAATGGAACGTTGAATGAAAATGTATTTATTTATTTGTTACCAGAGATGATACCTAAAAGAATCTAGATTTATGAATGTTTTTTTTTTTATTAAAAATTAACCTTCTTTTTTGTCGAGCTATTAATATTGCAAACGCAATGTCGTTACATTATTGTTCTCTACACAAAATATGTACTAAGCGCTAATGTCCAATGGTTTGGCTCCATTAAATTTTGTATCGGAGCAAAATGATCTCACCTTAAATTAGCGCCATCTAGTTATCGCAAATCGTTAGCTCTCATTAAACACGAAAGTTTGATTTATCAGCATAATTTGATTGATAGATGATGGATGGATGATAGATGGTTAATCGGAATTAGTTTATATCAGTAGGTAGGTAATCATTGTTCATTATCCAAACTAATATTATAAATCCGAAAGAAACTCTGTCAGTCTGTCTGTCTTTTCTTCACGCCTAAACTACTGAACCGATTTCTGTGTTTAGTACAGACATAGTTTGGAACTCGAGAAAGGACATAGGATAGTTTTTTATACCAAAAATCTGCAGAAAGTCACCATTTCACGCGAACGAAAATCCTAGTCTTTAAATATAAAGCATTATTGAAATAAAAGACTTTGATATTGACGTCTGCCTCGCTCTTTAGGGAATGAAAGGGATAAATCCTGATATCTATTTAACTATTGAAGTTTATAAATATACGCAGGTGGATGGTATAAAGCCGTCACGATCAGGGATCTTATCTAACAAATGCCTTGGGAAATTATAAGATTTTGTGATACGATATGATTTGAAAGGAATCCCATGAGCCACTTATAGAAAGGCCCTCCCGCACGATTTTACCCGCTCCATGGCTGTTATTCGTCATAGCATGATGTCTTATAGCCTTTCTCAATAAATGGACTATCCAATACAAAAAGCATCATTCAATTCCAACCAGTCGTTCCCGAGATTAGCGCGTTCCAACAAACAGACAAACTATCCAGCTTTAAATATTAAGTATAAAATATGTAGATATATGCACCTACCTACTCGTAACATCAAATTCTTATTGTTATTGTATCTGACTTGTATAGTCGATATCCTAATCAGCCTATAAGAACAATTAATAGATTATGCAAAATATAACTAAATTAAAAATTTAAAAACCCCCCGACAAAAATCGAATGTTAAAAGAACGTGGCGTTGGGGGCCGATCCAAATGTTTTATTATCTACTACATATTTCTATTTTGTCGGGGGTCTAATTTATTTTTTTATTTTATACTTTTTATCAGCCTACAAGTAAAATTATTGGATTATGCAAAATAAAATAAAAAGCGAAATAGATTCGTACGAAATTTATTGAAAAATATACAACAATGTAGGTACCTAATTGTTACAATTAAATGTTAAAAAATACTTATTCTAAAATTATGTTTTTAACAGTAAACAAATTATTATTATTAAAGTAAAATAAAATCTAAGATTAAAAGTTACAATACTTATCACACACACAGTAAATAAAAACTAAGAAACTAAAATATCTCATTTCTCTAAAAAACTACTTTTTTACACATTCCTTTAATTTTTAACAATTTTTATTTCGAACAAATATACGATCGGTAATAATTGCAAACAAATAAGAATTCAAGAATTCGAAAAAAAATGTTGATACATTAGGGCTGATTATTCAATAGTCTAATAAAATTGTTGCTGTCTCTGTCTTACACAAACATTCTGACGCGACAGCATCATAATTATTCGCCATGTAACTTTTATCTAACCATTGAAAATCAGCCCTTATTCGATTAAAAGTCGAGTATCAGACAAGGTGTCCAAAGACAATATCTATAATTCTTTAAAAAAAAAAACAAAATCAATTGACAAATCAATGAATTTTGCTAGCCAAAATACCTGTGTTGGTCTACTATGTATTTAATACCATTTTTACTGGCGATGTTGGCGCCAATCTTTTTTCCAGCATTGACAATGCTCATGTTAGTATATTTTTTAACGTAGGACTTCACATAAAAGTCTCCAAAAAGGTACATGAAGAGGACGGTGTTAAAACATACGGAGGCTAAAAGGAAATAGGCGGGGCGGCATTCCGAGACCATGTGACTGACCACTATATGGAGGAACATCAGAGAAAACTGCACCTGGAATATGGAATAATAATAAATTAGTGCAAACAACACCTTGAAACTAAAGAGATAAATATATAAGTCAAAGTCAAAGTTAAAATCAATAAGGCCCTTACAGGCACTTTTGACCGTCAAGCAAAGCTTAAAGATACAAGTGTCAGCCTGTCGGCCAGTTCTCTAAGTGAAGTTATTTGCTCGTCCAATGAAGAAGAACAAGCAAGATAGGCCATGGTTACTTTTTATAAAACCTTTTTTTCTATTATACTGCTCCTAAAGCCATAAATCCCTGGATTTACAATATTAGGGCAATTTTAACTAATAACTATTAGATTTAAGTGTGGGAGAGCCATGCTTCGGCACGAATGGGTCGGCTCGACCGGAGTGATACCACGGCCTCACAGAAAACCGGCGTTAATAACCACAGCGTTGTGTTTCGCCGTGTGAGTGAGGTTACCGGCGGGCTAATGTTTCCCCTCCGCCGATCCTAAAATGTCAGCAACGCACTCGTAACTCCACCGCTGCGGGTGTCCATGGGCGGCGCCGATTGCTTACCATCAGGTAATCCGTCTGATCGTTTGCCGACTTATTACATAAAAAAATTTGATTAATAACTATTAGATAGTAGAAAATAAAAAAACCACACTTACTAGTTGCATTTGTGTAATGTACTTCTTCCACCACAAGAATCTGTGGAGCTCCGGGAAGACCGAAAGACCGTAATAAGCGTACATGATCACGTGAACTAGGCAATTTATCACCCCCAGGAACACGGTGTTGTCAGTTCTGGAGTACTTGACGATCGCCCAAGTAGCCATCACCATTATTGAATGATGGTAGACGTGGAGGAAGGTGACCTGCCTCTGTCTTTTGCGAAGAACGAAGCATATCGTGTCGGTTAGTTCAACCACTTTGGTTAGGAAGTAGTAGTGACTGCCATCGAGAAGCTGAAAGATGAAAATTATTATTAACTAGAGTGAAACCTCCTTCTCCAGAGCCTGGCCCGAGCGGCAGGCTATAAAAGACGTCGCGCGTTGGAAGTGTTCACTCAATCTTTGGTCGGCAGCGGCTGAACGTCATTACCCTGGGTTGGTTGGATTCTTTAATTTAGTCGGTATATTGTTATTTTTTATTTACATCCTTACAGTAATTAGAGTTCGGTGTTATAATTTAAAATTATTTTGTTTATGTTTACGATTGAACGTTACTTTACGAAGTCCATAAGAGCTATATTAAAAAAAAAAACTGTCCTCACTTCTGGTTTATAAATTAGACTAGTTTAAAGACTACCTATCTATAATTAAATGGACTAGTTTAATTATATAGTAGATATATTTTTGTTATGAAACAAGGTTTAGGTAATCTGACTAGTATTCAGTGCGATGGACCTGTGTACGTTCTTAAACTGCGACCAGACATCGATAATTGGGCATCAGCATTAACTGCATTCCAAGTCACCTGCCAAACGTGGGGATAATGGCAATCCGTAACCTGAGGGGGAGCCATTCTTTCAGTAGTGAACTTTTTACGGCTGATGATGATGTTTCATTGAGATTAATCGCTCAATTTCAAGCCAGGAGATTAACCATAATCATGAGCTGCATCTGCAGCAAGTCGCGCAAGACGCGTTCTATCAGACGTGCTTTAAATATGAGCCCCCGTCATAGCTTGAAATTGATCGAATGTGTTGTCAAACGATTATTTAAGCTGTGTGTTCTTAAGTAACAACTTTATGTTTTAAGACTATATTGATTGTAACAGGTAAGGCTGTTTCGCTTGCGTAATTTCTATACGATATGGGGACATCTGTTTAAAGTTTAGAATAATGGTGTAGATTTTTACATTATGTATTTGTGTAAACAGATGTCAGACTTTTATTTTTGAATGATATCAAATAAATTACGTTTAATTCCGTTGGTAATTACAATTATATAAAAAAATATATAGATAACTCACTCATCACTCACTCACCGGACTAACGGACACTAAAGGACTCACCTTAATGAGATTAGATTTTTTTTTCAGGAAATGATGCCTAGTAATACCCCCCTGTCCCCGAAACAAAAAAACATGGTTTCTGACTTTTCAATATACCTATGAATAAAGCCATTGGATTCCACTAATTGTCAACTAGCGTATCATATGAATGAAGTATGAATGCAATTAAATACACTGAAAACCTTTCAGGAAACTGAAATTGTCAGCATGAATATTTCACAGTGTAATGTTCAAGCTTAAACCTGATTAACTTCATCACAGAGTCGAGTGCAGAAAAGATTAAACTTTTTACTTTTTACATAGATAGGTACAATAATCCTCTGGTCGGAATTCCTGACAAGGATTACACAATATTCGGAACGCTGGTACACTTTCCAAAGGCAGTTTTAATATCATTTTAATATGCCTGAAAATCCCGTGTCGTGGTGGCTCCGAGTGCCAATGTGACTTTTTCCGAGTTATATGTACTTTCTATGATTATTTAGACACCACTAGCAAGCGGTGAAAAAAAACATCGTGAGGAAACCTGGACTTATAATTTCTAATTATAAGTTTGAAATTGCCAACCCGCATTGAGCAAGCGTGGTGATTAATGCTCAAACCTTCTGTATGTGGGAAGAGGCCTTTGCTCAACAGTGGGCACTTATAGGCTGATGATGATGACGTTTGAAATCGCCAATCCACCTTGAGCAATCGTGGTGTAAGTTTGAAATCGCCAATCCACCTTGAGCAAGTATGGTGTAAGTTTGAAATGGGCGTGGTGGTTAATGCTCAATCTTTTTCCGTGTGAGAAGCGGCTTTTGCTCAGCAGTAGGCACTTATAGACTGATAATTATGTAAATACCGAGCGTGCCTCAAACGACCATCACTGGATATGGGACGGATGGATTTCCAGCCAGGGTTGCGAGTACAAGCGCCATGGTGTAACGAGCAGCTATGCCATTCTCAAAAGTTAATTTTCCAAATCAATTCTGAATCCGCGGTGAAATCATGTTTATTTTAAGTTTCGTATTCTCAAAAGGATTGAAATCTACATTGGCGCCACTATGTGAATAACGGAGTGAAAGGAACTAAAACAAGTGAGTATTGTACAGGCGAGATGAGGAGCAAAGTGGTGTGTGACTTACGAATCGATTTTCGAGATGAGATTTACCATTTATATATAGCATATCAGGAGAAGTGGGTTGGTTTTTATTCAGCAACACTGAAAAATGTTGCCTGTCTTCCGGGGACATTACGGCACGATGGCTGAGGAGTTTTTAGGTGTTTAATGATTTTTAAGTGATATAGTACAAATTTCGTGAGTCATTCTAAATTAATTATTATGTTTTCGGCTTACTCACGGGACGCATCGTGTTGCTCATGAATATGGCCTCTACCATGGTTTGAAACTAGTCGAGTATTTCGTCAAATTATTACGTAAGCCGAAAATATAATAATTAATCTTGTAATATTATAAAGTAAACAAAAATAATTTATGCTATGACGCTGGATAAAACTACATAATACCACGCAGAAGTGTATCAACTCAAAACATAGAAATACATATCTATGCCAGGTGACGCCGTGGCCGTGTAATGTGTATGTGAATTTGTATGTTTGTAAACGCATCCACGACACAGGAGAAAACCCTAGTGTGGCCCAACGTTTTTTTATCTTTAGAAATTAATGCAATATTAGCTTACCTGTTCTCTAAGGCCATCTCTTTCACAGTAACAGGTTGAATGCCATAATCCATATTTCCAAAGGTACCGACTACCCTGAAATTGTAGAAAGTTTTATTTACCTAATTGAAAATGCAATACTTTTTCCACGATGTGGTATTAACTGCTAACATAGTTAATCGTGCATCTGTGCGCATCAAGTGGTTGGTACGAAGCGTGGATAGTGTCCCAGGAAAAATATAAGAGGGTAAAGAAAATAATGGACACCAATACGATTCTTTTTCACTAAGATATTCATATAGAGTTTTAATCACTGGGTCGGTAAAACAGTATGTAAGATATATTGGTATTTGCTATTTTTTTTCACCAATGAAAAAGGAGGTTTTTCTTTGTGCCCGGTTTTAGGGCTTTTTGGTATTTTCTACTTTCTTTCGGCAATGAGCAAGGAGGTTTTTACTTTACCCGGTTAAAGATAACAAAGTTGGATACTCGTGGGTCCTAAAAAATAAGCAAGGAAAACTTGGCGTTAAAATGTGCAGTTATGTTGAATGATTTCTTTTGATGATATATGAATGATTTGTCATTCTCTATGATAAATGAATGATTTCTTTTGATGTAATATGACAATGTCTTGACCGCAGTGACGTCAGGTTGTAGAAAAAACTTGCAAGTAACAGCACTTGCGTTGTATGTAGCCGCGTTAGTTAGATAATATCGACCCCAAAAAATCGCAAATCCGCCTTGAGTAAGCGTGGCGACTGGTGCTCAAACCTTCTTCGTGTGAGAAGAGGCCTTTGCTAAGCAGTGGGCAGATATAGGCTGATGATGTATGTGTAGATCAAACCGTCCTAGACATACGCATTTTTACGAAACTGAAATGTCAAGAATGAATGACAAAAAACTTGACCTGAATACAGCGTGTGATTGTATGTATATTAGTACAAGAAAGGTCAAAGACACGTACTATATAAATGGTTTGATTAATAAAACGTATAAAACAATAGCTAATGACCTTTGCGTCACGGTTTTATGACATAACATCACGCTTTTAATCGCTGATGGGGTAAGCATAAGTGTCTATATACTGTGCATCACCCTTGCGGAGGGAGGAGTGGGACTTATAGCCACACATTGAAGGCAATCCCTCACTCATGTTATTGTTGAGAAATATTTGAAAACCAAAAGTATCCCAAATGACCAAGGAATTGGAGGTAATTGCGCCGATACGATCGATAAAGCAGAAATATTTATTATTATTACCACTTACAATAAAACATAAGAACTTAATAATGTAGCAAATAATCTGTACGTGAAACTGATTAAAAAAAGAGTGATCATGAGTAACCATGGAGTTTCATTCTTCTCCATTAGAATCCACACTTTGGAACGAGAAAATAGCTTCACTTAACTCACTGACAATTTGTATCCTTAAGCTTTGTTTGACGTTCAAAAGTGCCTTTTGAAGAAGCTTGTCTTGTTACGTGGTACAATATCGTTAAAGTATTGAAAACGCATTGGGAAACCGGTGTGAAACAAACAGGTTCGTATTTCAACTGTGTGACTTGTATTAACTGGAACCCTTCCCCAAATGTCAGAAACGCTCTTGGCTCATCAAATGCTTACCCTCAGACCGTAGGCCGGCTCTTTTGTACTCCTCACAAATGAAATTATTTTGAAATCCAAACTAATATTATAAATGCGAATGTTACTCGGTCTGTCTGTCTGTCTTTTCTTCACGCCTAAACTACTGAACAGATTCCTATGAAATTTGGTACAGACATAGTTTGGTACTCAAGAAAGGACATAGGCTTTTTTATGTCAAAAATCAGCAGGAAGTCACTATTCTACGCGAACGGAGTCGCGGGCAAAGGCTAGTTATATACTATTTACTTTGTTTTTTCACTACGCTAGTTACCTAAATAACAGGTAAAATAAATAAAATACTTACCAAAGCGAAGAGGCTCACAGAAATTATGACTTGAGCTGCATTGTAGAACAATAGCCAAGACTTCAAGTTGTACGGCTGCCTGTCCTTCATGAATTGTGGACCGAATCTCAACACGAACCAAAGGTACATCACTAGTATTGCAGCTACTGGATACGGGGTGGCCATTAGGAACTTATTGTCGCTGTATTCTGTTGACAAAATAACATTATATCACATCAAAGTCTTCTGGAGTCTTCGGGACTCTTCGAAAGTCTTCTAGAAAGGCTGTAGAAGACTACAAATAAGTGATTCTTAATCTTCGCCAGCGACATCTACCTAAGGGCTTTTAGGAACTCAGGATTAGGAGAAGGATCAAGGTGGTTTTTAGTCAGTAAGATAAAAAACATATCATTAATTATTTGAAGGTCTTCACCCCTCAAAAACCCCTGCTACAACTATTGAGATGTCAAATTTGATTTCAGAAAAGGGGCACGAAAATTTATTCAATAAAGTATCGAAGCTTGATACTGCAATTTTGATTTTGATTAGTTTTTGGGAAGCAATTTAATATTGATATCAAAAAAATACAGAGACCTTATATGCGGTTTATGCATACGTGTAAATAAAATGCTTTGTTAATACTTAGAATTAGGTTACTAATTTAGCAGGTCCCTGTAGTAATGTATATAGTAAAATATACAGGGACGCACTTACAACAAGGGACATATTCATGGACCTCTGGTGCTGAAATAAAACAACTTTTTACATAAGCTCAATATGGCAATCTCAACACAAAAGTTTTACTCTATCATGCAAAATCAATCAGCTGTTGCGATATGTGAGGGGAAATTAATTTATTTTTGAGATTTTAATATTGGTCCCATGGAAGAATTAGGTAGTTATAATTGAGCACAAAAATCGGCTCCTTAGATATGAACCTGCCTGTCCCAAATCCCAGTGACCATACCCATAAATTCACGATCCGCCCATTATCTTAAAGTTCGGTAAGCGAGTTGGAGATTGCAGTTTAAAAGATTCTTATTTATTTGTGATCCGTTCTATCCGGTCTCTCCAGTATTCCGTTCTACCGATATCCACTGGAAGAGGCACGCTTCCGCACGAATGTGTTTACTCAACCGGGTGAAAGCACTTACCTAGACCTCATAGAAAACCGGAGTGTAACAAAACTCACGTTGTAATTCCCGTGTGAGTGAAGTTACCAGAGGCCCACTCCTCAAATACACCCCTTTCCTTTAATCCCTGAAATCCCTTATAACCCACAAAAAGCCAGTAAATTACCTATATTATAGGCCTCGGCGGTTGCTTACCATCAGGTATCAGCTTGCTCGTTTGCCGACCTTTGCTACCACAAAAAAAGGGAAGAGGAAACTGTATTGTCACAAGGTGGCACAGCACAGCACTTCAATCAGGTTTATCTAGCGTTTCTAATATTTTAAATGCGAAATTGTAGGTATGTATAGATTTATGGATAGATAATTGTTAATTTTTCACTTAAAAACTACCGAACGAAACTAAAATTTGCTAGAGCGATCTACCAAGGACATAGAGATAATAGTTTGGAAAAACAAATTGGCTACTTTAAACGCTGGTACTGCGGACAAAACCGCCGGGAGATGTTAAAAAATAATAATAAAAGCGATATACCTTCTCCTTTGAAATCCCAAAAGGTTTCAGCGTGTAATTTCTCCATATTGTTGAGTTTTGACTCCTCAGTCCTCTTCAGTTCTTGTCTTATCCACAATGGCCTCTCATTTCGAGGCATCCGTTTTTTATTATATATTTGAGTGCGATTGCTGTAATCGTTTTTCAATGTACGTGGGCGCATTGAGAGCGGATTAGATTCTCCATTGTAATTGAACTCGACGGTTCACATTGTACATTCACAATCAATCCAATGAACATCACATCACATGAAAATAACATCATCAGCCTGTAAGTGCCTACTGCTGAGCAAAGGCCTCTTCTCACACGGAGAAGGTTTGAGCATTAATAAATCGCCAACCCACCTTATGCAAGCGTGGTGAAAAAAAGAAAAAGTCTTTGATCAGAAGTAGGCACTTGAAGGCTGATGTTGTGTTTTTGTTGTGTGATATTAATAAAAACATGCCATATTTACGGTGGCTGGCAGTGATTAGATGAAGTGATGATGAAGAGCTAAACATCGAGCTCTGTGGCGAGAAGGCATCAGTGACGGAAATGGGCTGATGAGATGATGATGATGATGATATTATCACATCGATCACTAATAAAGATTAGTGATCGATGTATTATCATGGAATAGCTACTCCAGTAAACTTCGACCTCTGTACCGTCCTAATATTAAGGAACATCGGAAAGTTTATAAATTAAAGTTATGTTCCTTGTCGAATATCTAATGTGATTTATAAATATTGACATTTTTACTAATTTTCTTACTATTTATTCCAGGAATATTTTAAGACCAGCATCCGCCAAGCCTATGTGTTAAACCAGAGTGTCGCCTATCTGCATACTAAATTTCAATCAAATCGGCCTAGCCGTTTTAGCGTTAAAGAATAAAAAACATACATTCTCACAAACATAAACAAAACATATATAATACTAGAATTAGTAGGAAGGATTGATATTATTTCATAATTTGACGACTGCCCAAAAAAGCAGTATTGTGTTTTTATAGTTAACTGTTATAGAGACAATATAGGATGGTTTAATATTTTTTTATCATTTATTTGCAAAAAGTAATGGCGATGATGGTAAATTTAATCATCAACGTCTCATGTCCGTTGTCACTAGCACCGCACCCTATTCGGAATGTAATTCTAAATTATTCTTATAGTAAATTAAATTGTGCAAGTTACGAACTTGGCATTGTTTGATTCTTCACAAAATTCAGCTCAATGACAATTTTCAAGTTGAGTGCGAGTGATGCAACTGAAATTCATGAATTAATTTGTTAATCAAAATCGTTTTTAAGGTTCCGTAGTTGTTTAGGAGACATTTCGGGCATCGGTGATCGTGAGATGATCTCCGGCCACCGTAAGCACGGGTGCGGACGGCGAGAAAGGGTAGCTTGCATTATGGAGTTTCTTGCTCATTCTTCTCCATTCGAATCTACAATTTGGAATGAGCACCTAGCTTCACTGACGAACAGACTGACAGACTACTTGTCTATTTTGACGTTTCAAAAGTACCTATTTATGGTTTAGTTGGAATAAATGATTTTGACTTTGACTTTGACTTGCCGCCCGACCAGAAGGTTGAAGGTGTTGGGCGGGGCCAATTGCGTCTGAGAGTTCGCCGCCGTTTTTCACATAAAAGAACAAAATGCTCAATAATCGATTATCATAAAAGTTAAGGATTTTTTATGTATGGAGAGATATAAATTAAACAAATATATTTTTTTGCAGTTTTTAAGTATAGATGATTGTACGGAACCTTTTGTACTTATTAGAGTCTGAATCGCATCTAATTGGTTTTTATTTCTTATTGTTTACATAGCTAGAAGTTCTGTTCATGATTGACAGAGTGCCATATTACTCGTCTCTTAGGAAAACTGAGTTTTTTTGTGCGTGTGTTAAAAGTTGATCGAAAAGTGTTGGTCATGTTAAATTTATTTTTACCGGGCCAAAAATCATCATAGTACTAGTCCGTAGGGAGTGTTGCTACTTACTAAAATAAACCTGAACTATTATAAATATGATAATCGATGTCACCATTCCTCTTGATGAGAACCTCGTGAAAGCCGAGACTGATAAACAATTAAAATATGTTGACTTGGCTTACGAGGTTGTTGACATGTGGAGTGTGGGCTCGGCTATCATTGTACCGAAGTTGTGTTGGTAAATGAGTAAGCTAAGCTTCGGCACGAATGGGTCGGCTCGACCGGAGTGATACCACGGCCTCACAGAATACCGGCGTGAAACAACCCACAGCGTTGTGTTTCGCCGTGTGCATTTTTTATTTCGTGTGGACCTAGGGTTAACAAATATACCCTTTTTAACGAGGAACTAATTGTATAATTTACACCTCGTGTTTAGGAATTTGTAGAGTTTATTCAATAATTATGACTTTCTCGGGCCGGGCATCGGTAACTATTATATGGAAACCTATCCGAAACGTGATGTCAAAAAATTGTGCCTGACTAGTATAACACTTCAGTATTATAGAAGACCGGTGTGAATACATTGTGTTTCGCTGTGTGACGACACCGGAGGCTCCCCAATCCTTAAATCCAAGGCATTTGTAATCTCTTGATTTTGTGGGATACCTATACTTACAATGAAACAATGAATTTTTTTTTTGCAAATAGGCCATAAAACGGCACTTTTACACGTCAACACACATAAACACTTACATAAACCGATTTAAGTTTAGGAGAAAGGACGGGGTAGTTTTTAGCCAGTAATATAGTCTACCAGTCCTACTCGCCTGACCCACGGGAGAAGTCATAAGATGATAAAAAAAAGAATGGAAGTTAGATGGTTGACCAACCAGTATAAAAACTACTAGATCGTGACATCACAAGATATTTCAAATAATAATGTTGTCGAAAGGCGGACGATCAGACGGATAACCTGATGGTAAGCATCAACGCCGCCCATGGACATCCGGGCATCGCGGCAACAACGGAGGAGTTAGGAGTACGTTGCCGACCTTTTGGGGGATTAAGGATTTGGAGATTTTGGGAGGGATTGGGGGTGCCTCTCCCAATCTACGGCGACACGGCGAAACACAACGCTGTGGTTGTTTCACGCCGGTTTTCTGTGAGTCTGTGGTAGCATTCCGGTTTGGGTCTTATTTTTATATGTAATAGGTCGACAAACGACCAGACGGATTACCTGATGGTTAGCAATTAGCGCCGCCCATGGACACCCGCAACGGAGGAGTTACGAGTGCGTTGCTGACTATTAAATGATTAGGGTTTTCGAGATTTAAGGATTGGGAAGTGATCGGGGGAGGGGAAGGATTGGGCCTTCGGTAACCTCACTCATACGGCAAAACACAACGCTGATCCCACACTTACTGTGATTTACAAGATATTTTAAAGAAATATATTCATCATCCCTATTATGTAGTTTAACGATAATTTTGTTTAAGATAACTGTGCCACATGCCCACAAAATATTAATTTTAATTGACCAACAGAACTTGAAATAATTCGGCTAGATATCATCATTTAGGTAATGTTCTCAACCAAAATATAAGTCTGATGAACAAACTCAATTGTTTTCAGAAGCCTTTCAGTTTTCAGCGGCTTTCTATAGCCATTGTTACAGGCTACAACACAATCGTTCAACCGTAAACGTGTGAAAATTTGCAGTTTTCAAATATCAATAGTAGGTATTGTATTTTTCATGTTACGTATTCTTTTATTATAAGAACTAAACTGAACGTTAAACTATTAAGTTTTAATTTATTTTCAAGTATTCACACTATGTACTACCGTATTTTTTAATGTTAATGGCTAATTGTTGTGTTATGTATGTTTGTATTATACTTTGTGTGTGTGTGTGTGTGTGTGTTTGGGTGTGTTGTGTGTGTTGTGAGTTGCGTGTGAGTTGTGTATGTACTATACGGTGATGTTGATAATTGTATACTAGGCCTCGACAAACTTTGGAGCAGGTCTCTTGTAGAGGACCCGGGGCCCCTTACAGGTGATGAGGGTGGCCACCGGGGTGGTTTCAGTGAGGTAAAAATACCACACTCCCTAGTCTTTCTCCCCAAAAAGCTAGGCGCCTTTTGAAGGTTTCCCCCCGTAATCAAAAAAAAAAAAAAGGCCTCGACAAACTCAGAAGACAAAATAATTGATTAATTATTTTAGTGATTTCTGCATTACATTGTGAGTCTTGACGCCTGTGACATTTGTAGAAGGCCAAAAGTCTTATAATAATTGTATGATATATTTATATATACTTTATTGCACACATACACCAAGTAGCAATACATTGGATACTATAAACAAATGTTGTGATAACAATGGGCTGTCTTATATATATTCAATATTATACATATTTTATACATATTCAAACTAACTAAATAATGTATCAAAGAATGTTTATGTGACACTGATTTTAAAAGAGTAACCATGGAGTTTCTTGCTCGTTCTTCTCCATCGGAATCTACACTTTGGAACGAGCGAATAGCTTCACTAAAAGGACTGACCGACAGACTGACACTTTGTATCTTTAAAGTTGTGTTGACGTTCAAAAGTGCCTGTATGGGTCTAATTGAAATAAATAATTTTGACTTTGACTTTTGACTTTGACTTATAACGTGGTGGTGGAAGAAACCACCTTGTGATAAGACAGCCCATTGTAATCGTATAAATATAGTATGTATAAATGTAGTTATCTATGTGTGTGTGTTTGTGTGTGTGTGTGTTTGTTTGTGTGTGTGCGAGTAAGTGAGTGTGTGAAACAGAAGTCTATAGTGCTAGATAATATCTATATATAAAAGCTAAATATATGTATGTTTTTTAAAACATGGCGCCTGGTGTCGTGGATCTGTTTAAGTAGGTAGTAGCATACATTTTCCCATACACCAGACCAGAACAACATGTTATGGATCACATGAAGAGTTATGCGTGGATATACATATTTCCACGACACGTTGCACATCTTCCGCACTAGTTATCAACATAATTGCTGCTGATTGATTATATTGACAGCACGGTTGGCGGGGTGACTGGGCAACTGGCTGTCGCGCAACGTATCGCAAGTTCGATTACCGGGAACTACTCTTTGTGTAATCCACGAATTGTTGTTCTGGGTCTGGGTGTGAATGTGCATGTGATATTGCATGTTTGTAAACGCACCCACGACACAAGAGAAAATCCTATTGTGGGGCAAGGTTAAAAAAAAGAAAAAAATGCATATGGACCACTCAAACATCCGTAAGTGGGCCTTCTTCTCCATATAATAGGAGTTGCAATAATCTTCACGTCTGTCAGGTGGTTGAAAATCGCAATTTCAAAGGTTACGATTTAATAGGGACTCTGGGGTTGGTCAAAGAGGACCCGGTGTTCCTTACAGATGTTTATGGTGGCCACCGGGGAGGTTTTAGTGAGGTAAAGGACCACAATCCCTAGTATTTTTCCTCGTTAACAAGGTTTAAGAGAGAGTGCTGTAGCGCAATTAGTGTGAACTGTGCGCTATTCCTTGTTTTGAAGAAAAAAAATCATCCGATGACTGACTCCTGCCCCGGGTGCGGCGAAAACAGTGATAGATTTTAGTCCAATAAAGAAATACAAACAATACAAGACAGTAATTCTATAATTAATTCTAATATCGGACTAAAAATAAAATCTATAACAATAAAAAAAAGCTTTATAAACGTCGTTAGTCAAGGTATACTCCAAAGACAGTGACTTGTATGAAAGCTGTAGTGGTTTCCCTTAGAATGTCTGCTATGCCATCTCTCTCATGATCCCAAAGAAAGGCCACAGCGTTGTTGTATGATTGAGACCTCTTCTGTACCAGTGACACTACGGCAATGATCCGATAGCGATCGAAGCATAAACTCTTCACATTTCTCATAACTTCACCAGCTATGACCATCGTGAGTCCTGGAGATTCCTGGAGGAATAAAAAGAGTAATTTATTAAGTATGTAATATAAAAAGGGTGATTTGCTTGTTAATAATGAAATCTGTTTAAATATGGCATAGTGTTTCATCGTTAATAATATAGATAAATAACATGAATATCTCTTATGTGATTCCTTCCCGAAAACCCCACATATCAAATTTCAGCGAAATCTGTTTCCGAGATCACATGCTTTTTCAAGCAATCAACCCCATCTGCTAGGCTTATTTGCGAAGCTAAACCTTCCAGGTCGCCACTCAAACGTATACAGAAAAAAACATTTAAATCGGTCAAGCCGTTTAGGAGTATTTCAATGACATACACATGTACAGCAGAATTATATATATAAAGATTTAAAGTAAAATGAAAATATAAGTAACAATGTATGTGTAGGTACGATAAAAAGACAAATTACCGTAACATTATAAACATGGCCCTCCCAATAAGCATCTAATACACCATTTATGGCGGCCTCTACGTCGGGAACACGAAATGTCGTCTTAGGTTCCAGCTGGTATGTATTCAGATAAACCAGTGGAGGCCTTTTGTATTCCGATCCGAGCTAAAAGAAAAAGATACCATAAGCGTAACTTGCTTTAACCACTTAATCGTTAAACTCGATGTTTCACAGGAGTGGTCCCAAGATGGATCCTTGTGGAACACCGCGTCACATCGACAAGTTAGTGACGGGTCGATCTATACATACTACAAAAATAAATTTACTTTCGTACTCAGTGATATTTTATGCTTAAACTATGTTTAAATAGTAACTATAATGAGGTATACAACATTAATTATTGAAAATAACAACTTATTCACGTGAGATAGCTAAAGTAAAGCTCTACCAGTTTCTAGTGACAACGGGACTCTTATTAATGAAAAGCGTGTGTCGCGATGACGTCACCGAAATCAATGATGTAGATACAGGTACATCACAACTTATCACAGTCGTTATCTATCTTCTATACTAATATTATAAAGAGGTAAAATTTTGTAAGTTTGTTATATGTAGGGGGTAATCTTTGGAATTCGTGGTCGGATTGCCAAAATTCTAAATGTTCCTGAGTGCTATAGGGTATAAAAACATTACGCTACGATTAAATCGTGCCGAGCAGCAAGTGAAACCGCGTGAGAATAACTAGTTTTGAATAAAATATGATTTTATTGTAAATAACGAAGCGGCCTCGGCCTGGAGCAGGAAAAGTTTTAAAGTGTGGGAGAGCCGTGCTTCGGCACGAATGGGTCGGCTCGACCGGAGTGATACCACGGCCACACAGAATACCGGCGTGAAACAACCACAGCGTTGTGTTTCGCCGTGTGAGTGAGGTTACCGGAGGCCCAATGCCTCCCCTTCCCCTATCCCTTCCCGATCGTTATATCCGCAACCCCTATCCCCAAAAGGCCGGCAACGCACTCGTAACTACTTTGGTGTTGCGGGTGTCCATTGCTTACCATCGGGTAATCCGTCTGCTCGTTTGCCGACTTATACCATAAAAAAAGGAACGTGGTTTTTAGTCAGTAGAGTCTGTGACACTTCCTCTCGCTTATCCCTAGGCGTCATTAGATGAGTTTTCCTCCCAAAAAAGGGAGTCGCTGGAATTAGGTAGCTTCCAACTAGAATCAGGAAGTTATAGGGGTTGCCTGTGTTTAGCAGTTGACGTTTTGTGGTTGATATGATGATGATGATTAGGATGATGAAATAGCTACTTTGCATTCATTTCACGTGTATGAAGATAATTTAGCTACTTGTAGGTAACTGTACAAATTATTTACATCTTAAAACTAAACTTACAAACTAACAAAATTACAGTTAATGGTACTGTATACATACATTTATACACATATTTACATTTTGTACACAATACTTATATATAATACCTATATATTATACTTCCTTACCAGTTGGTAAAGATTGCTGATCTTCAATCAACTACATGTTAATTCGTCTCGGTACACGCACCTGAGAGGTCCTTCGCTCAGTAGATCTTATTCCAGTAATTCCACCGAACCCAAAGGATTGCTTGCGAACCTTCATTCGACTCAGTATCGACGATTTCCCCGCACCCACAGGAAAATTGGTGGACCTTGCACTCGATGCTTGACCCTTAAGGTTGACTACCACCGATCTACTCTTTTTCTGATTTGTTACTGATGTTGTATCCATGATTATGATTGTTATTTTAATTCCTATAAAGATGATTTTATAATAGAATTAATTCTAATACCTTTCACTTTGTAATGCTAACTTTAAGACTGAATTTAATTTTCCCTGCAAGAATATTTAAGATTCTTTGAAATCATTTCTTGCTATCGACATTTAAAATGTCAGTGTCTAAAAAAAATGTCGTGCTTCCAAGAAGGTCTGAATCGTAAGCGTTATTTATTTTGGATTGTATTAAAACACTAGCTACTCACTCGCTGCTCGGTTCCATTTGATTGTAGCGTGATGTTTTATACCTATAGCCTTCGGGAATATTGTAGCTATCTATCAGTGAAAGAATTTTGGGAATTCGACCAGCGGTTCCAGAGATTACTGCTACATACGAACCTCTTTATAATATTAGTATAGATGAAATAATTAATGCTTTAAGTAGATCGTTTATCAAATGCACATTAAATTTACTCGTATAAGGGACCACCTTTGAAATTTGGACCCATCTTTGCCGTGTCACCTGGAAGTAAATGAAGCGAATTTTTTTTCTATTTTCTTTATTTCTATAATTCTAAGTTATTATCGGTTTGGTGGTACTTACATTGATTAAATTGTTAAACACAAAGAATATTTTTGGAGATTTTGGGATTTCGGGAGGGCAAGGTTTGGGGCTCCGGTAACCTCACTTACACGGCGAAACACAACGCTGTAATTGTTTTATGCTGGTTTTCTGTGAGGCCGTGGTATCACTCCGGACGAGCCGATTCATTCGTACCGAAGAGTAGCTAGTATTTAATAAAATTATGTCCTTCTCAGTTTTGGTTAAGATACAAACTGCCTTGTTACAAAACAAGGTTTTTGTTTAGTCTAGGTCTAAACCATTGAGACAATTTTTCTATTTAGAATTGAAGGTAGGTGAGAATATGATTCAAAATACAAAAACTGACAAATCGGTTTGAACCTAAAGATAAATCTTGTTTTGTAATATGAAAAAAGAGACAACACTACTTAATACCCAATACACGTATCAAGTGCATATCTTATGCCCGGTTCCTATATTTAACTAATCGTCGTTGTATACGCATTACGACCAAATGACATTACGAATAGTTATCTTGACCGTCTACTGACGACAGACACCATAGATCTCCATACAATTCGCTTACCGACATCCGTTAGTTGCAAACCGTCAGTAAGTTGCACGACGAGACGTTTGTTATAGGAACGGTTTTAGCTTACGAGTCGTATATAAAACTACTATTCGTAACTAAAACGGATCGTTTCTCAATTATAGGAACCGGGCATTAGTTCATACAAACATATATCATTTAGCATCCCTATCAATCAGCAACGAACAATACACTCTGTCGATAAACAGCCATCTATACACTACAATTTCAATGGTCAATAAATAAAGTTATGTTTTGATCAAATATAGATTAAGAAAAGATTTCTATAAATCTATGAAAATAACATAACACAATTGTAATTTACAGAAACAAATCATCAATAAGTAAATAAATATCCTCATAACGGTCGTAACTGGCCATTCCAATTTTAAAAACATTCCAGAAATAGTTTGCCGTTTTTTTTTTCAAATCGGAACGGAAACGGAAACGGCTTTGGCACAAACATGGGCGACGAGGGTTGCCAACGCGCACCTAATGAGTTTCATTGCTTTGTTATTGCCATTTTTGTGCCAAATTCATTTAATTTTTCCTTTTTGCGATCTTTTCATAGTATTGACCGTATCAATTTCGATTTAAGGCTTTTATTAAACACAAATACGTTAATTCTGTTAGTAGTAATTCTACAAGAAACATTTTTGGACACCCATGGGATGGCTTTTTTATGGGGGAAAATCATTAAATGTCCTATTATTTCCTCTAGCCCTGGGTGGGGCAAACTGACTTAAGACCATCTTGTTTCTTCTCCTGCTCCAGGCCAGGGCCGCAGTACATCATTTCGCTTGACCCTCAACCCTGATGACTAACCTATGGCGTGGATCGAATAGAACATATAATAGAGAGAACCGGCGTGAAACAACGATTTCGTCGTGTTTTCTCACGTCTAGGGTTATTGGAGGCTGCTTCTTACCGCTCCCCATCTTCAAACAATTTGATTCCCGGGGCCACGCATTGTTCTTACACCCCCCTTTTTTGTGAAATCATAAATGGACTCTTACTGACTAAAAACCCCCTTGTTCCTCTTCCTGCTCTAGGCCGAGGCCGCGGTGACTCATTTCGCTTAACCTGCAACCCAGGCGCCATATAGGGCCCCGTCTGTGATGGTCTATTGGCTACGCGTCGCTAGCCTAGCCTAGCTAGCCTACTAGCTAAAGTTTAAACAATCTTAATGGAAGTTCTCTGATAGTTTGGGGTATTATATTATAGATTTTTATACACATAAACATACAATTTCTGTGATACAGAGTGGTTCTGCATTTTAATACAACAATCTTACTAGGATCTCTTTTGCTGAATGCACTGTTTTCTGAGACTTTTTCAAATAATTATGGGTGATTTCTTACAAAGAGACCAATTTCAATGATGCATAAGGAAAAAATGGTGAGTATTTTAGTTTTCTGAAATAAGGGGTTTGCAAGAATCAAAGGTACCGGCGTTACACATTGCTCTTAAACAGCATTTCTGTGCCAGGAAAACTTCGTTTATTAAGGTTGAGTTGCCCCATAGTAATAAACCATATCGTAAAACTGATCCTATATAACCATGGTAAGCAGCAATTGCTGTGGATTGAGTAGCAGTTTTGTTAAGCTGTCTTAGAACGTAAACAAATTTGTTAAGTTTTGAACATACATAATGTATAAGAGACTTAATAATGTAAAAAACTGAACAATAAAATACTCAATTATAACAAAAAATATAACAATATATAATTAATACTATACAATAAAATAAATATAACAATAAATTTATAAAAAAATTTAGAACGGATAACCTTATAATTATTATAATGTACAAAATATAAAAATAATAGCAATACTATACATACTTAGAATATGAAATACTTGTGCATAATTCTATATAGAACAAGCCTGCCTCTCTTCTAATTTACTATTTGCTGTGCCCATCAGGGTCCATGATTGTTACTATACATATTATTACCATCTTATCTTACATTGTGGATGCAATAAAGAATTATGATTATGATTATGACTTCCAATTGCAGTAGGTAATTGTCTACGGTTATACCTAAGAATTTAATGTCAGTGTTTGGACTAATCACTGTATTATTATATTGCAAAGTAATTTTTTTGGTCACTGTTTGATAGTTAGAAAATTGTATTTATTTAGTTTTAGTAAAGTTAGCCTGTAAGTCATTGTATGTTAGCCATTGTATTACATGTCCTAGGGAGGTTAACCTCTTCTTCGTGGTGGTTGTTAGTTTCTCATATAATTATGAGTAATTAATGTGTTAGTGTACTTGTAAAACGTATATGTCTGCCTCGTACCTAGTGATTTCTAATAGCTATAAGTTGCACGTTCAAGCGATGCTATCAAATAATTTATATTTTTTTACGCACACTTTTGATATTTACTCACTTCTGTGTTGGAATACATAGTACCTCTATTTAGTCTGTGGTATTGGACAGGGTTCGCCGCCAGAAAGTTTTATGATTTCATTTCATGTATTATCCAAATTCTGAATTAAAACAGGTATTGTGAAGAAACTGAGATTTTCATTATTAAACTTTTAAATGTTTACTACTGGACAACTGTAACGATGTTGTGTGTGTCAGGTTTTGTTTTGTAAAGGGAAAATCATCGAATGATTTTTCCCGCCCAGGATCGGGCGGGAGCTAGTGTCAGACTCTTACTTACTAAAAACCAGGTAAACAGTCTGCTTGTTTGCCGCTGGATAAAATAATATGTATCAATAATTAACCAAATACTAAATAATATAATGAGACAAAAATATTGAAATACCATTAGCGAGAAAGAGACACCATTATTTCTTCATTAACTACAGTTCAGTTAAGGGTGTTATATCACTAAACACTATTTATTACCGTACTAAAAGTCTATTAAATAGTCATTTGAAATTAAACCCTAAATTTGACTCAAACGTTTTATTTTACCGTGGCAGGATTGGTGAGGGATTCAAAGGCCTTTATAGTAAAGTTATATTGTTCGTTAAATATTGGACTGTATTGTGATCATGGTAGAGTTGTTATTGTATTAGTAGGCTGATGTTAAATGAGGTGAAGAAAAAACCTTTGCGGTTTTTTCTTCTAGCGGGAGTGTCGAAGAGTTCCTGCGATAATGATTAAGAGAGGGTTGGATACTTAATTATAGTGATAAATTAATTATCGAGAACATAGTACATAACATAGATCTAAAGATGAAATCTCGGTCTTAAGAAAAATAAACAGACTGTGAGGAAAATACATTATTATAAAGTAGGAAAACGGAGGTAATATTGATTGGCTAAGAATTTCCAATTAATAGCCACTTAACCAATCTCTTAGTAATCATTCTCGGAGCTAAATCGTTACAATGGAATAGTTAAAGAACCAATTGGGGGTTTTTAAATAGAAACTAGCTTTTGCCCCTCGAATTCGTCCGCGTTTTATTTGTTTTTCGTCAGAAATGTTCGGACACAACCTCTCCCCCGGTTTGTAAGAGACACACTGAATGTCTATGTCAAGCTGAAAAGATCACGCCTGGTGAATTCCACACTCCGTCTTTGCCGCGCACACATTAAAAAAACTATTAAATCGCTTTCAATGCGTAACCGAATACTAAACCTTGGACATCGAGTAGGACTTCTTTAAGACCCCACTATTCACCATTTTCATTCAATTTTAATTTCAAATGTATAAATAATTTCACATTTCAACTTTCCTGTACCTTCATCTTCTAAGGCTTTCGTATTTTCAGTTCATTTTAGCTTAATATCCTAATTTGTACCCATATAGAAGGGAACGGGAGGTAAACTGACTAACGAAATTACTTAAAGCCGGCGTGATGGCCAAACAGCCTTTGGGTAAGTGGATTATAATTATTATAATTTGCAAGTCATTTTAAAGACTTACTTCTGTGTAATTTTCATCAACTTTGTGGTACCTATTATAAAGCCAATGTGAAATTTATAGTCATTTTTTGTGAGAAGATATTATTATCATCAAAAGACTTCTCTCGCCCAGGACAAGGCGGAAAGGAGTATTACACTCTTTTTTAATCTTAATTTTCTAATTAGGATTTTTTTCCTAACAGAAGATTTCAGTTCTATTATTGAATACAAAATTCAGTTCTTATTTATTTATTTATTTATTATAAGGTAGGCTCACAGCATATGTAAAAAAAGTGGTTTAAAGTATTGGTTACAGGCAGTAGGTCATATACATTAGACAGTTACGAGCTAACCAACATTCCAAAAATTATGCGTTCATACAGTCAAAATATATGTATATAGAAATTAAAACTCGAACTAATTAAATTAACATACAATATAATACTGTTGTCCTACCTAGACAACAGCATTAATCTACTAATAAAACAGCTAAACCATTCATAGGTTCAACTAGCCCTTAAGTTTAAACATAAAATAATTAGATACAATTTTTTGGCCTCAGATGACAATGGTGAGGCTAACACACTATGATAAAATAAAAACCAATATCATAACTCTTAAAAGTAAAAGCGTTTCCTACTGCGGCCGCTGAAACATATAATTTCTTAGTCATCTTTTACTATAAGGGGTGCTGGCAAAATACCAATTTATTCTGCGTTGGCGACAATCATCTTCTTATATATAAAAATGGATCGCAAAATGTGTTGGTAAGCGCATAACTCAACAACGCCTGGACCAATTTTGCTAATTCTTTTTTGTGGTGTATGTTATTGTCAGGAGAAGGTTTTTATCAAAGAAAATATTAGAAAAGTAGAGGGGAAGATTAGGAAAAAGTGACCGTTTGATAGCAAGATAGTTGGACCCGTGCGAAGCAGGGGCGAACCGCTAGTATCCTAATAAAGTTATGGTCACTGTACTCTGAAAACAATTAATTATCGTAATAGTGCAATTGTGAGGCCATTACGACAGTGACTAAATGAAACATTTAAACTTGTGTGGTTTCGGTCAATGCTATCACAACCCACGAGCTGAAGTTCAAAGTTCTTACGAGTAAAAGTGTGGGAGAGCCAAGCTTCGGCACGAATGGGTCGGCTCGACCGGAGTAATACCACGGCCTCACATAAAACCGGCGTGAAACAACGAAATTTGTTTCGCGAGGTTACCAGAGGCCCAATCCCTTCTCCTCTCTCTATCCCTTCACAATCCTTAACTATCCGAAACCTTTATTCCCAAAAGACCAGCAACGCACTCGTACCTCCTTTGGTGTTGCAGATGACCTCTTATCGCTCTACCATAGCCTTGCTTGATAAAACTTAAACTATAATTGTTGAATTCGAACCAGTATTAGGAGTTTAACGCGTTCAAGCAAACATACATCTTCTTCAGCTTTTTTAAGTTTCCATCGCGTGTGTAGCCTTTATGGTGCAGGTTACATTGAAATTATGTATGACGAAAATATTTTACATAAAATTATCGAATAAATATTGTATTACAACATATGTCTATCTTTTATGTTTAACTCACAATAGCAAGTGTAACTCCTGGTAGCTTAGGAGTTCGGATAATAAGCCATCGCACCGTCGCACGTGAACACTGAATCATGCTATAAGGATTGTTTAACCCATTGGATATGTAACCATAAAACTGAGACAAATTTTATGTATACCTCGATTTTGTTCTATTGCTATAGGCTGCTTTTTAACAACACAGCACGCGGGCGAAGCCGCAGGCGAAAGCTATCTACTATTTTAATACGTATTTTTGATTTGTTAAACCTGCGATCCAACCAATTTGAAAATTATAAGATCAGGTTCCTCATGATATTAAATATATATATATATATGTATACTTACGACACTTAATTACGTGGATGTAAATGTTGGCAGAAAATATATGTAAGTAGTTTGTAGGTATAAAATAAATTATAGGTATATCTTGGCCGAGCTCTTGTAAGTATTCGGTAAAGTAATTTCTTAAACATGTTTTTGGCATAAATGAGACTTTGGCATCCAGTAATAAGATCTACTCAATTAAAATTGTTATATCATTTTAACAAATTATTGGATATAGGATTGGGCCTCTGGTAACCTCAATCACTTCGGTAAATTATTAGAGAAAATTTCCAAAAGCAAATAAATACATAGTCGTACTTTTGCTC